AGAAGAAACTTTTCATGTCCCAAGATAACCTTTCATTAATCATGAATTTACATAACTTCTGTCCAGGAGACGAGTACTCCAGCTAGTAAAATATGGGGATTTATAACTGTGGAATAAACGAAAATATATACAGAAAAGATAACCAAAGTTTGTTGGGTAATGTAAAAAAATTTACCTTTTCGTTCAAAGTTCTATTTAGATAAAACTTAAATAATAAAAGAAAAATGAGAGGGCGCTTTTAACAACGGCCATAGTCTTCTCAAATTAATTCAGATTTTGTCATCCAAGTACTGAAAAGTAGGTGATTTTGTTCATAGTGTAAATAAATATTTGAATATAATTACGTTTGTAATCGAGAGCTAGAATAACGTTATTAACATTTCATTATTCAAGAACTAAATGTGACCGAATAGAACTAGAAGCTACTTGTTTATATGTGTAATAATACGAGCTCTTGAAAACTCGATGTAGGCTTATTCATCGAAGTAAGTTAATAGTTGGAGAAGCACATAATACGATAGTTTCTATACTGATTAAGTTGAGTTACATAGCTTCATCAACTTCTCATGTTAAGGTGAAAACCAACCAATAATCTTTAGGCTTATAAAATAGTTAACTTTTATGAATTGCAGAAACTATATATATATATAATTCTATTAGTTGATTTTTTTTTTATCATAGGGCCATAGTGGAATTCGAACGTCACTCTTGTAACGTTGGAGTTTTGGAGTAATGCACCAAAACATGGTTAAATAAAACGTTTGTTTTGGAGGTTAGGTCATTTTTCTCACCAATTTAAACAAACCAGTTCAATCACTAGACGTTAAATTTCAATAATAAAAATTACGTGCACCGATACCTCAATATTTAACTTTTCACCCGGATTCCTTTTGTCATTACTTATATTTGGGATCACAATGAACTATTAGTTATTATTACTGATAATATTGTTACGTCTCCATTCGTTAGTTAATTTTCCGTAAATTCTTCCCGAAGAAACTTT